TATACACAATTAATTAATTGTCTCCTTTTTGTCTCTTTTTTGTTTCCTTTTTGTCTCTTTTTTTTGTCTCTTTTTTTTGTCTCTTTTTTGCTTCTTTTTTTTTTTTTTTTGTCCCCTTCCTGTATCCTTTTTCCTGTCCCCTTCCTGTCTCCTTTTTCCTGCCCCCTTCCTGTATCCTTTTTCCTGTCCGCTTCCTGTCTCCTTTTTTTGTTGTCTCCTTATTTATTTATTTATTTATTTATTTATTTATTTATTTATTTATTGTCTCCTTTTTCTAGGCAATATCCTTAGCTCGTTATATACAGAATCCTTTAGGGGAGGCAGCAGCCTTATGGGGAGAAGGGACAGATAATCATCTCTTACAATTAAGGTTACATCCTTTACAATATGCTGTAAACCCTAAACCCTAAACCCTAAACCCTAAACCCTCATAAACCCAAATAAACCCTCATAAACCCTAATAAACCCTTATAAACCCTTATAAACCCTTATAAACAATAATAAACAAGAATAAACCCTAATAAACCCTTATAAACTCTTATAAACCCTTATAAACCCTTATAAACAATAATAAACCTTTATAAACCCTTATAAACCCTTATAAACACTAATAAACCCCTATAAACCCTAATAAAGCCTAATAAACCTTTATAAACCCTAGGTAATAATTAATAAATAATATATGTATAGGATACTGCTTGTGGGGCATTTTATGTATTTGTGTGTTTGTGTGTGTGTGTGTGTGTATCTTTGCTGCTGCTGCTGCTGCTGCTGCTGCAGCTGCCAAGAGATCGTCTTGCTGCTGCATGCGAGACCGTGCTGCTGCGGTTAGTTGGGAGCAGCGGCGTAGATCTACGTCGTTGCATGCGTCTACACAGCAACAGCAGCAGCAGCAGCAACAGCAGCAGCAGCAGCGGCAGCAGCGGTGCTGCTATCCTACAATTCGTCCCTGGCTTAGGTCCTCGTAAAGCAGACAGATTATTAAATCTACTCAAGTCCTCTACTCTTGTTGTAAACCCTAAACCCTAAACCCTAAACCCTAAACCCTAAACCCTAATAACATATCAAGTTATAATAATATACACTCTTTTTCTAAACCCTAAACCCTAAACCCTAAGAATTCCTTATGTTATTATACACTCTTATTGGAAACCCTAAACCCTAAATACCCCCCACCTCCTCAACTTTTCCTGTAAACCCTAAACTCTAAACCCTAACCGCTCAACCGACACGTCTCCCCAACTCCTAAACCCTTACCATAAACCCTAAACCCTAAACCCTAAACCCTTTTATGTATTTAATTAATTTATACAGATGAAGAGTCAATTATGCCATGGAGAAGACAGCGATGAATCAGAAGGAGAGTCTCCTCGTCCTTTCTTAGAGGAAAGAAGCAGCAGCAAGGGTTTAGGGTCTAGGGTTTTCTCTAATTGTGTCTCCTTTCTCTCTCTAAGATCAGAAGCAGCAGCAGGAGAAGGAGATGCTCTTGATGGTTTGTTTACCCTCCTGCTGCTGTTGCTGCTGCTGCTGCTGCTGTTGCTGCTGCTGCTGCTGTTGCTGCTGCTGCTGCTGTTGCTGCCGCTGTTATTATGGTTGTAGATAATAGACCCTAATATACAAGGAGACAGTTGTGTTATACACTAAACCCTAAACCCTAAACCCTAAACCCTAAACCCTAATATATTAAAAGGAGACACCTATAAACCCTTATAAATAAACCCTCGTGTAATAGTATAAAAGTATACACATATCATACCGAATAAAAACCCCAAACCCTAAACCCTAAACCCTAAACCCTAAACCCTTTTTTTTTTTTTTCTTTGTCTCCTTGGTGCAGCATTAGATGCAACAAAAATACACCCAACAGATTTTAATGGCAATAATAGTTGGCTATCTCGTCTATGCAAGGCAGCAGTAGAGGCAAGAAAAGGAGACAATAAAGGAGACAATAAGGGAGAAAGGGGAGAAGGAGAAGGAGAAGGAGAAGGAGAAGGAGAAGGAGAAGGAGGAGGAACAGAAGCAGTAACAGCAACAGCAACAGGAGGAGACAATCAAGGAACAGGAACAACAGCAACAGGAGATAATAAAGGGACAACTAATGAAGAAACTGATGAAGAAGCTGTCGCTGAAGTACTCAAGTACGGTCTAGGGTTTAGGGTTTATGAGGGTTTAGGAGGGTTTAGGAGGGTTTATGAGGGTTTACAGGTGTCTTGTGTTTATCTATTTGAAAGTGTCCCCCAATCCAGCCTCTTCCTTCAGTTCTAGGGTTTACGTTTCTAGGGTTTAGGGTTTAGGGTTTAGGGTTTAGGGTTTAGGGTTTATGTTATAGGGATCCTTCTTTATTGGATGAATTAGATTTATTGGCATTTGCTTATAAATATAAAAATGAGCCAGAAGGAGACAGAATACTGTAAGGAGACACACACACAAAAAAAGGAGACAAAAAAAAAAGGAGGCAAAAGGAGACACTTTATTTATTGAATAAATATATATATATATT